AGTATTAATAAGAAAAGCAAGCCCGGAATCGGGACCACCGATTTTTTAGAAAACATGCGGAAGTTTGAGATATTGGTATATCTTGCCCGGTTCTACTATGAAGCCAACAGTTGGTTTTGTAGTGGAGCTAACTTTCTATATACAACAAATAAATTTACTATATCAATAAAATTATATTAGTATTATTTAAGTAATCAGAGAATATGGTAAATTTACTTGTTGTATATAAAAGATTGACTTCACTATAAGATCAACCAACTGTTGACTTCATAGCAAAACCGATATCTTGTATTGTGCTGTGTCGGTATTCAACACAATGTATTGTAGAACAATAGCTAATATTGAAGGCAGGGTACGTAAAAAAATTATCCAACTAGCTACTTGTCTTGTCGCAAGCATAAAATAGATATTTAATTACTTATTTACAATTTGGGAAACTTAGTGGAAAATAATTTTGGTCCACCAATTCTGTACAGATCTATCTCGAAATACGCAAATTTTTGGGCCGCTTTGGCGCTATGTGTATCACTTTTTCCCTTCATCATTTCCCAATATTCCTAAGGAAAATGGCACACGTTTCAATCAAACCCCTACTTCAATTCACATAATGGTCCACCACACAAGAACAAACTCACACCAAAATACGGTGAGCAGTGCCCACCACTTTTTTTTACATGAAAAACGTATTCTAAAAAAATGTGGTAGGTACTGCTCACCGTGGGCAGGTGAGCGGGACTATATATATATATATATATATGTATGTATGTAAATTTAAAAAAAAAAAAAAAACACTCTCATGAGCTACCCTTGCTATAATTAGGAGTTTAAGACCATGTAACTAAGGACTAGAGTATGGATAGTCATCCATATTTTTTTTCACAAACTATGTATTGTGTTAGACAACAACTACATTTAATACATTTGTGGACACATTAATTTATGATGGCTCCATAAAATTTATGCAGTAAGACACAATGGTCGCCTTAGATAAATTTGTCTAATTGAAATCATTCTTGCATGGAGTAGCCTATCTATTGATTTACCTTAATTGAATTAAAAAAAAAAAAAAAATCGTAGTTTGACATATACAAAAAGAATAACGTAGACTATTAGTATGTGATTTTTTTTAACGAAATATGACAGATACACCCGATGAGTAGGTAAATTGTATTAATTAATAGTGATTCTATTTTATTATGAATTACGGACTAATAGTTAAACCGTCTCACACAATAATTTTCGACAAAACCCCAAACACACACATGTGGAAGGTATTTGGGTTTTCATGGCCATGTACAACTCCATGCAAACAATAAAGGGTCAACATGTCTAGCACAAACAATAAAGAGAAACAGTTGCAAACAAGCATCACACACAAGTATTGACAACTATCAGAAAAAAACCAGAGTATACCCAAACAAAAACACCCTTTTCAATACATATGGATAGCAAATTAAACCATCAAACCAGCAAATCTATATATATATAAAAGTGAAGCAGCTGGTAAAAAATTCTTTTTCCCTCCAAAACTACATTTATTATACTGAATAAATTTTGTTAACTTCTATGTAATACAATCATAAACATAATTAATTTTTACAAAAAAAATCACTTACACGTAATTATGTATATAATTTACTTATTAAATAATTACTCTCCTATTCCCAAAGCTACATTTACTACACTTTTTTTTTTAACTTTTATGTAACTCAACCATAAATATAATTAGTTTTTTATAAATAAATACTATACAATTATAAATGTAATTATTTGTTAAAAATTTACTCTCATATTCTCACTGCCAATTAATTACACCTTCAATTATGTTGAAGTGGAAGACTACATTAATATTTTTTTCAATAACATAATTAGTTTTTGAAAATAAACACTTAATTATAAATATAATTATTTATTAAAAATTATTATCCTATTCCCAAAGCCAAATAATCTCACTTCAATTTTGTGGATGGCCACATAAATTATTTTGGTCTTTTTTATTTTCAAGGTAAATGGGAGTTCTTTTTTATATATTAGAATTTTTATTATTTTCTTCATAGTACTAACATAGGGCACAATCTTAAATAAATATTGAAAAAATCATTTTTTATTTTTTATTTTTAATTTAAAAGAACATATATATATATATATATATTACTATGGAGTAGTTTGAGAAAATATTACTTTTCCTCCAAGACTACTTATTAATCTCACACAAATTTTATTAATTCCTACTCATGATCTATAATTCAAGACATAATCATAATTGTTTTTATAAATAATTACTAAAATATAAATATAATTATTTATTATGAATATATTCTAATCTTTAAGGCCAAATAACCAACCTCTCAATTTTTTGGAAGATTGCACGAATTATTTTTGTCTTTTTTCCACTTTTGATGAGTAAGTGCAAGTTCTTTTTTTTTTATATATTTTTTATTATTATTATAAACAATTAACATAATTTCATTTAATAATTATTGAAAACAATTTTAAATGAAAATATTTTTTAAAATTATTTTTTTAGAACTCAAGACAATATCTCATTTAGATCATTGTTGGGACAAAAAATCAAAATGAGATAAAACTTTTATCTTTAATATGATACTCCATAATATTCAATCTAATTGAATCTTTTTTAGAATTTCTAATTTTATACGTCTTTGACACTCTGCACACTTGATGTTTGTTTCACAATAGTTATATATAAGTAGCATGTCACGTTGATGCACGAACTCAACTTGATTTATGAAAATAATTTATTTAAACTAACAATCGTTTATTTTCTCATAATTTAAAATTTATTTTAATTTTAGCAAAAAATCTTGCAAGTGTAACAAAACACAAAGGACCATTGATGGTGTGTTTTTTCATTGAGAAAAAAAGAAATGAGAATTAATGAAATATATGTGGACGTGTTGTATGGTGAAATGTTGTGTATTCGGTTAGATTTAAGATTTTCTGTTAGATTCAAATTGTAATGTGTAAAAGATAATTAAAATCAATTATATAGAAAATTTAATCTTTAATTTTTATTTTTGTGTGTGTGAATTAGATATATTACACACATCAACTCAAATTAAGTAATCTATCATCATCTTCTGTTAGTCTTTCTAGAGTTGGATAATTCAAGTAATATTGTTCAAACTATTGGACATGTAAAGAGTATAAAATTAAGAAGTAAGGGTATAATATCCTATTTTGGGGTTGATATCGAAAATGATGTTTTTTTAACGTGAAAGGTATAATATCCAAGTTTGTGGTTATTATCGAAAATAATATTTATTAACGAGAATAAATAATGTATTAATTCACTTAGGCTTAGTGTACCTAAATTTATGGAAAAAGTTAAATCAAGATAAAAAAAAAATATTGTCTGAAAATAATATAATTTGTCTTACAAATAAATAAAACATAAAAAGTTGCTTGTATTTATTATTCAATGTTACTATAGATGAAATATATAAACTTATTGACGAGAACATTATGTTAGGGAAAATTTAATTTATATTTTAGTTACTGAATATTGGTTTTAATTTTGAAAATATAAGTCATTTTTGTTTTTTTCGTAAAGTGGAATTATAGTATTTTTAAAACACAACAACATCATCTATAACTCTTTTAGTTGGAAAATTTTAAATAAAATTTTACAATGTGTTAGGACTAAGAGGGTGAATTCAGAACTAATATTTATAAATATTTTTCAAAATGTAAAATCTCATGCAAGTTATTTTTTTGGAACTAAAATGACATGCTTCAAAATTTATAATTTATAAACATTATATTTAATTTAACATTTATTGTGCAATTAAAATTAATGTGAATTTATGTTTAAAAGTAAATAAATTATAAAAAAAACTATGAAAATCTATTCATCAATTTACATGTATGCTGGAGTAAAAATTGTCTGCTATAGTTGTCTTTCATTTGTCAATAAAATTTTATTTAAATAATTCACTATTTTTGCAGCGAAAATCTCAATGCATATTTCAAAAAGTTTAATTAGCTTCGGTTTATAAATAATTTCAGTCCAAATAACTCGATATGTTATTGACTTGATGAATAATGACGATATTGCAGAATTTTCTCTTAATTCAATCAAAAACTAAAAACACAATTTTAAAGTATAAACGGTGTATTCTCGCAGCATAATTTTTTTGTTCTACAATTATCCTTGACGTTTTTCAATTTAAGACTACTATTTAATTCCAACGATGATAATTTCTATTACGTTGTCTTAGGCAATCTGAGTTGATCAAGGACAACTATTGTTGTTATATGTGATATTGTTGCAGAAAAATCATGCACTTAGTCATAATAGTAGCATATTGTTGTTTCTAGAGTTATAAACGAAAGATTAATATTTTCAATGGAAATAATGATCATAATAAACTCAATTCGCCTACAACTAATGTTATATATATATATATATATATTCAAATGTCTAATAAGTAACATTATTGTAAATAAATTGTCATTCATTTAAATTATAATTCGTCAATATATTTAATATCCTATCGCGCAACGCGCGGGTGTCGTACTAGTGACAATAAAATTCTAATCGATTTGCCAGTTCGAAACAGCTCAAGAAGAAGAAAGTAACACACCGAATAGGGAAATGCTACGGTCCCGTTATGATATCGTCCCGTCAGGTGTTTTGATCGTTGGATCAACTATTTTATACTAACTACATGTGTATCCAACGGTTAAAACACTCGACGGGATAGTACCGTAACGATATCGTAGTACTTCCCCGCCGAATATTATATGTCTTCTTACTTCCCAACAAAGCTTTCAATTAGAGATCGAAATTCAAAACTCCAACTTCTTCTTTACATAGATCATATGTTAAATTGATATACACATAACATAAGATATTATTTAATTGAAAATAAAATAAAATAAAATGGAAGTTACAAAACAAAAGAGGAATAGAAAGATGCCTTTCTTTTTCTTTTTCTTTTTTATTTTATTTTTTCTTTTTTGAGCAGCGATTTCATTTAAGGGTGTAAACGAACCCATTGATATTTTCCCTCCAATGGAACGTCCTTCACAATATCATAGTTGTACCTGAAAATAATTACACAATACCCACATTCAACAAAATAATTACTCTTTTTACCTTTTTCAGTTATGGGAATAATCAATTCGTGCTGCGCTAAAATGAGCCGGGCGTGCGTTTTGAGATTCAGCGCCTTATAGTGTGTGTATGTGTGTCTATATCTATATATATATATGTATACACTGTATGTATATGTGGAGCTGAAAAATGAAAATAGATACTAACTTTTCAACAAATCGTTTCTGGTCGTACTTCTTCTCCGCAGCCGCGAAGAACTCCTCAAGATCCACAGGCGACGGCGAAAGCTCCAGAATTTTCCGGCGGGAGGTCGCCGGAGGTGTAGATTTTTTGGCTTTTGCCGTGGAGACTGGGTGCAGTGACACTTGATCCGAGTCTCCGTAAAAATCGCTGGTCGGAGTTGCCTCTCTACTGAAAAAGGCGAAAAAAATAAAATAATAACAATGAGCTTTAATTTTGCTGAAAAATACGAAAATTGTACTGCACATCATAGAATTTCGAATCAAATAAAATCAGATCAAACTACGATCGAGTGAACTAAATGCAAAATTACTCATCAATTTGTTCACCTGAATACGCGAGTGATGGACGTGGAAATCTCCGTTCCAAAGCATTCTGACTGCAAATCAACAATCTGAAGAAAAAAATAAAGAGAAAGAAAAATCCGTAAGAGAACAAATCAAAAGAGTTTATCCATAGCTCTCAGATGGAAAATACAAAATCCACTTCCACAGAGTACAGAATTTCGAAAATTCTGACCTCCAAATCCGACGATATCTTCTTCACGACGCCGCTCGAGCACTCCTCGTGCTCGTAAAAGCCACCGCAGGTCGTAGATTCCGCCGGCGAAGCTGAATTTTCCGGCGACGGATCCACCTCCCCGCCGCCGTAGCCCTCATTTTCGATCTCTGAGCAAAACTTCCTTTTCTTACTGGAAATCAACTCCATGTCCGCTGCGGTCGTTCTCCACGCCTTAGCTGTCACGCTCATCTCTCTCTCCCTGCCTATAGATACATAATATATATTATGTGAGAGATTATTTAGTGTGAATGTGTGTATAGGTCTGTGTGTATATATATATATATATATATATGAGTGTGTGTGTGTGTGTTAATTAG